CTGTAGCACCATCTGAGTTCAAGGTCGAATTTTTCTTGTTCTATGGCCATGTTATTACTATTTAAGAAGATTGAAAATACCTGAATCGCGTATTTTCCTTCTGATGATCTTCTAATTATGTAGGTTAATTTATGACTACTTAGTGGAGACTGCTGCTTGCAATCAAACAAGAGAGCACATAAATGAGTTCTTGGAGAAGTGTAAGAAGTATGGCCTTGCAAAAGCTGAGGTGCTCGATATCATCAACCTCAGGCCATCTTCTTTGGTTGAAATCGAGCCGGTGGACCTATTGTTATGCTTCTGTCTGAGCATTGTTGAACTGATTTATGTACATATGAGATGACGTGCAAAGAGATATTTAAGAATATTGAACCTTATGCTGCTTGTTGTTATAATTGTATCCTGGACAGTGTAAAACCATCGAAGATTTACTGGTTGGAAGAATGTTTAGAGAACTGATATATATATATATATATATATTTTTTTTTTTTTTTTTTTTGCTCGTGCACAAAGTGGTCCTTCTTATTTGTATGAGTGCTGTGTTCTCTTGCGGATGCTTGGCTTAACTTGATTTATGTGTCCCAGATCATTGAACAATCTGTGAAGCGTTTCAAGGAGCATTTCAAGAAATGTTTCGAAGAACAACTGAAAGAGCTATTGGATTTGGTGGCAGAGGTGTTGCCTGCGGCTCCAACACAACAGAAACCTGAAGAAGAGATTGAGGAGGAAAACGAAGAAATGGCAGATGGTGAAATAACTGAGAATGAGAGGCAGGCTGCAGAAGCCCAACAGATAACACAAGGATGAAAATGAAGGAAATGGGGATGAGCTGCAAATGAAGTAACTGACTCTGTCTAAGCAGGGCTACCATGCCACAAATGTACTTGTATTTATTTTTAATTTTTAATTTTTATGCTAGATAATGGGTTAAATAGAAAATAATAACTTGAGATTTTCGATATGAAAACTCAAGTTCTTAACTTTTAAGATGGTTTTAAGGTACTTATTTAACTATTTATTTGTTTAACAAGAAATTACATGGCTTACACTTTACAACCTTTAAATTATAGTATAAAATAATGATGGTTAGAACTAATTTTTAGGACCAAATTTTAACAAATTTATGGTAACCATTTATGGTTTACACTTTACAACCCTTAAACTAATTTTTAATGCCATGGCTTGATTCATAAAAATCATTTTCTCGGCACAAATTTCACTGCAAAAGGTAACTGATTATATTGTCATGTATAATTAATTATATTATTTCAAAATTAAAATAAATGAGTAGTGATATAAAAATAATTTTTTATATAATTTTTATTTATTATTAAATAGTAAATGTATTTAATATTATAAAATATAAATAAATAAAAAAATTAATTATTTAAATAATAAATAAAATAATATAAAAAATATAAAAATTTTATTCTTAAATATTTTTTTAATAAATATTTACTTTTCAATTGTAGTTACGTATTATGTCCGGTAGAAAACATTCTCGCATTTTTCATTGGGAAACGCTTTCTCAACAAATATATATATATATATATATATATTTTTTTTTTGAACAGATTTTACAAGAGTTGAGTTCGAACCCCAGCCTGGAGAGGGAGGAATGCACCGTGGGTGGCTTTTGCCACTTGACCCGAAGGGTTTGGTGCTCCCAACAAATATATTTAATTAAATTATCTATAAGCACTTATATTTCTTCAAAATAAAGTTTATCAATTTACAACCACTGAATTTTTTGTTGGGATTCATGTCAGAAAATTACAAATTCTAAATCAAGCCTAACCATATTGTGCATGTGGCTTCCCCAAAAAGACCTTCTAAGGAAGAGGCTACCAAACAAGTCTTTAACTCAAATTATTAGTATTGGTTGACTTTGAAGAGTTTAGGGCAATAAACAGACACTCTAATCATATAAACCTAAAAAGGAAAAAAAAAAAAAACATAATATCTCATAACAAAAGGTACTTAGTGACCAATATCTTTAGTTAGTCATAAATATAAAACTAAATCCAATCCAGTTAGAATTAAACAAATTAATAAACATTTATAATAAGTATATAAAATTTCTTTTATTATAGCATTGAATTTGAATCCATAATAAACTAAGAGCCTATTTGGTTCAGGAAAATGAAAGGGAAAATTTTTTTCTTCATTCATCTCAAACCAAATAGCATGTAAAGGTTAACTTGGAATTCATTTTGTTACTAATACAAACTATCTACCAAGTTTGAGTGATCTTTTCACTGAAAAAATAATAACTTTGGAGCTCCTGTTGCCAAGATTGATATTTGTCTGCTTCACCCAACAAGTGGGGGAGGGGGATCCAGAAAATTAGAAGTTTTTATTGATGATACCTTAAATATCCAAAATTAGAACTTAATTGAAACAAAATTAAATTATTGGGCCTAATAATATTCATACAAATTATGGAGGGACCACTTCTGCAATCTGTTTTCTTTAGGGAAATGAAAATTGTCAGCACATCTTCCCTCTTTGCTCTTTACCTCCACTTTCTCCCTGCCGTGCCGCCTCACACCCTTGCCCGCCGACGAACAGCTATTTGGTTTTAATTTCTGCGTTGCTTGGTGAGATTCTTTTCGATTTGGGTTCTTCTTCCTCTCTCTCCGGTCTTCTGCGTTTGAATCTCAAATCAGGTACTGAGTCTTAGTTTTGAGTTTATTAACTCAATTTCATCTTGATTTCGCCATTCGTTCTGCATCTTTTTACCAACGAAATGAAATAATGCTGCCGGCAGATTAATGGGTTTGGGACAGATTCTGGTAGTGATGTGAAAATCTTAATTGGGTTTGGAATTGGTTCTAGAGTTAAGATAAGGAGTTCAGGATTGACTGATGCAAATTTCTCAGCGAAACTCGTTCCCATCCTCGCTTTCCTTGGTCTTTTCTGTTACTCTGGCAATGATAAAGCTTTTTTCTTTTAATGTGCTTTAGAAAAACAATGAAATTTTTAATTTGTTTTAAGGTTGGTAGTAAAGGAAATTAGCATTTGAACACTTTTGCTATCATCTTTTATTGATATTAATGTATATTATCAACATTTACCTGATCAATTCTGTTTCCTTTTGCAGTGTTTCGGGCAAAATCGAGCTCAAAATTGCATCTGCAATTTGTACAAGCAAAAAAGTTAGAGTTAGCTAGTGTTATCTCTTTTTCCTTTGCAGATGAAGATGTATGTGCTTACCTTCTTATTTACTCATTCCTTTACTGTTGCTTTAGGTTTTGTTCTTGTGCTCTAGAGATATGAATTTAGACTTCCTGTAACCGCTTAGTGTTTTCTCTTTATCTCTTTCTCTAAGGCTGACATCTAAAAAGACTGAATATTTTGCAGAAAAGCAGCTAATGCAGGTGCACTGACTAATTTTGAAGTGCTTGATTTTTTACGATCTAGAGGGGCCTCAAAGGATCCTACACGAGTTATAGTTCCTGTAGCACCATCTGAGTTCAAGGTGGAATTTTCTTGTTCTATGGTCAGGTTATTATTATTTGGGAAGACTGATTATACCTGAATTGTGGATTTTCCTTCTAATGATCTTCTAATCTTGTAGGTTTATGACTACTTAGTGGAGACTGCTGCTTGCAATCAAACAAGAGAGCACATAAATGAGTTCTTGGAGAAGTGTAAGAAATATAGCCTTGCAAAAGCTGAGGTGCTCAATATCATCAACCTCAGGCCATCCAGTTTGGTTGAAATTGACCCGGTAAACCTATTGTTATGCTTATGTCTGTACAATAGCATTATTTCTTTTTTTTCCTACACTGTGGTTGTCATTTGAGATAGTTCCTGTTCTCTCTATTTTTTCAATAATAATTCCATTGCCTTGAGGAATGTACTGTATTTCCATGTTTTATTTAGTGCATTAAATATGCTATTCAAATGGCATGCTAAATGGTATTAAATCTTTAGTGCTATTTAAATTTGTTCCTCACTTTTAAGGCAGTTGTCTAGAATAATCTCGGCCATCAGTACCCTTAGATACAAGGATATTCAAAACATGCTTTCCATTGGATAGTGTTCTCGTTGGGACTTTGCTTGGTTTTGTTAGTTGTTTGAAGTCTTGAGGTCTGATCCAGCCAGTCAGACGGTAGAGACGTGTACTAGAAAAGGTGTTCAGGCACTTCAGTGCCTAAGTCAGTTTGGCCTAAGCTGAATATTCTAGAGAACACCTCTGGGTTCACTTTTCTTCTATATTGCAACTGTATCCAAACCCAAGGTTCCAAACAGCTTACTTAACCGAGCTAAGTCCAAGCTACAACAGGTAGTAAAATTTTGGCACTAGATACTTCATTTCTATCAAATTTGGTATAGACTATTGTCTTCTGAAATTATCTGCCTTTAGGATCAACAATTTCTAAGTTGCTTCTAATGTTATCGGTGGCTTGTCTGACACTTGAAATGATTCAAGGTCAAAACAGCATAGTGCAGAAGTACTAACAAGAGGGAAATAAAGGTTTAGCCTTTAACATAATTTCTTATAGTTGCCTCATGCCTGCGTCCTAGTGTCCTATCCCTCCATATAATGGTGCCATCCAATTCGAATATGAATAGAAACTTAACAGATGAAAAAGTTAGTGCACTTTGCTACTTGTCTTAATAAATTAAAATAAAGGTTATAATAAAATTCTTAGGCATAGGATTCATATTAACTGAATAAAGTTAACCAAAAAAAAAAAAAAGAATTGGAATGATTCCTTTATATGTTCATAGACTGACACATGATTCATTTGCAACTGTCTCAGCAAATGTTGTATTGATAGATGTACATATGAGATAATGTTCAAAGAGATATTTGGGAATATGGAACCTCATGCTGCATGTTTTTCTAATTTTATTCTGGACAGGGTAAATCCATCCAAGATTTACTTGCTGGATGAATGTTGTCTGTTATCCTTAGACAACTGTTATTTTTTGTTTCTTTTCTTTCATGCACAGTCAAAGTGGTCCTTTCTACTTGTATAAGTCCTGAGTTCTCTTGCAGATACTTGACTGAATTGATTCATATTTCCCAGATCATAGAACAATCCGAGAAGCGTTTCGAAGAACAACTGGAAGGGCTAGTGAATTTGGTGGCAGAGGTGTTGCCAACGGGCTCAACACAACCGAAACCTGAAGAAGAGATTGAGGAGGAAAACGTAGAAATGGCAGATGGGGAAAAAACTGAGCATGAAGGGCAGGCTGTAGAAGCTGAACAAATTCATAATGATGAAAATGAAGGTAGCTGAGTCTGTCTTAAGCAGGACTTCCATGCTACAAATGTACTTGAATTAAAGCTATTTATTTATTTAAGAAGAAACCAAAGAAAGACGAGAAACATGGTTTACAGCTCTTAACTGATCCCATAATCTCAAAGTCAAATGGGTTTTGAAAAATGGGATTCCACCTAGTCCTATACTGTCCTAGTTCCACCAGTGGACAGACACAACACCAACAAAATGTGTCAAATCAAACATCACTTCCAAAATCCCATCTTCTTTAACCAAAGTTAGCAAAGAAAAGATGGGCAGTCTGCAAATCTGACCCATCCCCACCTGTGGGACGTTGAATTTGTAATTTTGGAAAGGTTAAACTTCAGTCTGGTACTTTAATTATTGTATAAATTTTTTAATTAGTTTTTAAATTGAAAAATTTTTAATTTAATCTTTAAAATTTTTAAATTTGATTCTTAATTAGGTTTTTTGTTAAAAAATAATGGATATATTTATTATTTAATGATAAAAAAATATTATTTAATAGTCATATATCACGTAATAATAAAACATATTAATTGATTTTTAATAAAGAGATTAACTTATAATTAAATATAAAAATATTAAAAACTAAATTAATAATTTTTTAATTTAAAAACCAATTCAAAAACCTGGACAATAATTAAGGGACCAAGTTTGGAGTTTTACCTTTTGGAAACCGAAGAAACCTTTCCCTTTGACAAGCTGTCCCACCTAATCTAGAAAATAATTCATAATTCGTACGTTTTTTTTAAAAATAACAATAACAATGTGTCATTATTTAAGAAAAAAAAAAAGTGCTTCACAAGTTAACCAACATTATAATATATAATTATTTAGTAATTTTATTTTTTTATCAACCTTTTACTATTTAATAATCATATTAAATTTTAATTAATTAGAATCAAATCAGATCAAATCTTATTAAAAAAAATTTTGTTGGTGTTTATTTTTTCATTTATAAAATTTGAATTTAAAATTTTATTTTAAAAAAATTAAAATTTTTTTATTAAAACAATAAATCATTGATATTTAATAATTTTATTATTTAAATTATATTTTTAATACATTATCTATACCGTAAAACATGATTTTTCTTTCTTCTCTTGCTTTGAACTCATGAGAAATGAAGAAAACTGGGTAAAAAAAACCACGAATCCTACTATTTTTAATATTTGAAAAAGATATAATGTCAGGGTTCTCGTGAAGGGACAGCAAAAGAAGACATCATGTGGTAATTGGGAGTGGAATTCTCTGAGCATCCCTACAAATATCATCCCTTCGGATTGATACAAAGAACAGTAGGAGACCTTCAAAAGGGGTAAGAATAGGACCGTCTTTTTCTTAAACAGTAATTCTTTTTTATTTTTTATTTCTTTGGTTTTTATATTTCTTTGGTACCTGTTTGAGGAAAAAAACAACAGTTGCAGACGCAAACAAGAGGAAGTAAATGTTTCATCCTCATGTGTGGACGACAGGAAAAGCTAACCCCCTCGTGTGTACTGATCAAACCTCATTACGCGAGCATCCACCGTGAAAGGGCCAACTCTGTATGATATCTACTACCAACAAAAGAAGAGAAAATTTTTCTAGGATTTTATTCCAAGCATCCGAATCTAAGTTTGAAATTATGTCATATATCTTTGAATTTTGTTACCCTTTGGCCTCTTCGGTCATAAATTTATGTACGTCAAAAAGTCTGGTAGGTGTAAATTTAAGAAATCAAAAATATTCCCCCATCACCCTAATTTCTCTTTAGGTTGAGAACCAACAACATTTCTTAGAAATTGAAATTGAAATTATTAATACTAATTGATTTTGCAGAATTTCACACAACAAAGACATACATGACACCCGCTAAATAGAGAAGACAAATTTTTTTTGATTAGTTGAAGGAATGATTTTGAATTTGAAAAACTGCCTAAAAATGGCAATAAGGAGGGATAATATGGAGGATTTAATTTTAAATTATATAATAAAAAATAATATATTTTTATTTTTTAATTAATTTCATATATATGTATATTTGAATTTAAAATATTTTATTTTTATGAATTAAAAATTATTATTAAATTATTTAAATAATTAAGCTAGAAACCATTTGATTGACGAACAATATTCTCAGAAATGATAGTGGCAATACCTAATGAGCATAGCCTTTTATCTAAAAATATCGCGTATGAGCTTGCAAAGAAAGTTGTCCACACACACCTGAAAATCTATATTTTGGAGAAACCAAAGTCCCTTTTCGAGACGAGCTAATGTAATTAGATTAAGGGCCTGTTTGGTGTGGCTTGTGAGAGTTTTAGCTTTTTGAGTACTGTTATGAGTGATAAGTTTAAATTTTTATTGGAAGGAAAATAGAGTTTTAGTTTTTAAGAAAGTGAAAAAAGAAGTGAAAAGTAAGTAAAAAAAGAATTTATGAAAAGTTTGGATTCAAAACTTTTAAACTTTTACTGTTTAAGAGCTTTTTGAAGTTAAAAAAATATTTAAAAATGTAAATTTTTAAGAGAAAAATTTAAATTCATGAGATATGAATAGTACCCAAAAGCTGAAACTCTTAGGAACTGCACCAAACAGTCTCTAATTAGTCCAAAAAATAGCAAAGAATAAAATGTTACCTTGTACATAATGCCCAAATTGAAAATAACATTACAAATTTAACTCTTGATCGCGTACAGATTAGGTTCCGTATTAAGACCCGTAGCCTCCTCTGTAAAGTACGATGAGAATTCAGAAAGTCCGAAGAAATATTGCATTAAATGAAAGTAATTAATCTAATTCGAGGTTTGGGGAATTTCAGAAGTTGAACAGGGACAGTTACGGAAATCAAATAGGAAATGAATGGGGTTTGAGTATATCAGTACAACAATTACGGAGCAAAAATAAATTCTATCCGTAGAGAAAATGAGCGTTGTCCCATCAGTCTCTCCATGGATGGAGAGAGTGAGGGAAGAAAGAAAAAAATTACGAAAGTATATGCACATATCGGCATTGCAAGAAGAAGAAAACAACAAACTGTGATACTGTAGAATAAAAGAGGACACAAATAACTCAAATAGCAATTCCCATCTGCTTTTCCTCCATATGCATCCTCTCCAATCTCTTTTCCATAATAGAAACACAAATACCGTAGCTATCTTTTCCTACCTTTGTTTCTGATCCATAGCCCATCTCCAAATTTGCAAGAAACAAAGCAAAAAGAATATGGAGAAGATGAAAAAGGAAGAGAATAAAAAGCAATGTTTGATCCACAACTACAATGAATCATTAAAGCCAAATGGATTGGATTGAAGAACTAAATCAATTAAATAATGCCTTAATGATTCAGTGATAATTTGGGGTACCATAAAGCTATCAATATAAGTAAAAGGAGAAGAGGGATTCATGAAAGAGAAACATGATCTTAATATACAGCCTTTACTTCCAATCTTTTTAAAAAAAATTAACCTGCATGAATGCAGGTGAGGGACACCAGAGAGAAAATGAAAATTAAGATAACCAAGAGGAAAAAAGATCCCCTATTGATAACATCAGAATATCTTACATTCCCAAGGTTCTTCCCTGTCCCTCAGTAGACAGGTTTATATATAAAAACATGCATGTTACAGTTACATAACAGCAACGAATATTAATATTTATCAAAGTTCCAAGGAAGAAAAAGATTAAAAAAAGGGGGATTCTCAGAATTTTCTTTTCAAAGTTACTGTAATGGTTTTGGTCTTCTCTCTATTTAATTAGGGCATGAACAACTTGTTGCCACACTTGCATCGCCAAGCTTCTGGGTAATATTCCTGAGGAAAACTGAATCCTGGATGAATCGGAACGTGAACCGGGCTACACGGCGAACAGTTGCCGCACTTGGATCTGCAGGAGGGTGGTGAAGAACCTGGACCGGCGAGTCTCTTCTGAGTCAAAATCCGCTCTAACTCTGTAGAGTCTCCCTCCCCCTGGAACCCACTGCCTGCGAACAACCCGAGTTGAACTAAGTTACATACATACACAAACTTAGTTATATATCTGCTAACTTTAAAACTTTAATTACGGAGGATAAAGAGGACAGTGTACTTCAAATCTTTCTAACAATTAAACAACCAGCTTTTGAGTAGTTGGAAGCTATGCTTACTGAGTAAGGAGAGAGTGATGACGGCAGCTAAGGCAAATAAGAGAAAAGCGAAGGCAGTGAAGGAATGATAGCGGCGGCGCAAAACGCCCATCGCCGAGGAGAGGCGGCGGAGGAAGTTAGTGAGCAACGAGCTATATTGTGCGTGTGTATGTGTGTGTGTGTGTGTGTGTTGGGGAAGGTTATTAAATGAAAGGGATCGGAATTCAGAGGGAGTGAAGGAGAAGAGAAGACTGTTTGAGAGAGAGACGGGAGAAGGTGAAATTATTACTGTTTGTTGCAGAGGGTTTTGCGTGAGAGTCTAAGTCAAAGACATAAAGCCAGGAGATTTAAGATAGGAGAGGGATATTTTGTTTTTCTGGTTGGCCAAGGGGGTTGGTGTGGGACCTACTTACTTTTGGTCCTGAATGATTGTTACAAATTTTTTTGATACCGTGACTCTGTGGTTATTTATTTAGCTCTTTTATGTCTTGTCACTCTATCTATGTTCTATATTCTTATCCAATTTTAATAAATTTAATTTTTTTTATTTAAGGGGTGTAAATTTAATTTGTTATTTTTTAATATATTATTTAATATATTTGTTTTATTTTATTTTTATTTAAAAAATAATTGTAATTATATTAAATAAAAAATCTCATTTAAGTGGTACTTAATTATTAATAAATTATTATATTTTTATTTTATTAAATTT